CACAGGCATAGTAGTAGAGATGGCTTTTAGCCAGCAGATATGTAAGTTTCAAACTATATAAATCTGTCTAGCCTACAGATATATCAGCTTCTTATTAGGATATGGAGTTGTTATGATGTAGATGATGCTGAAAGCCATGAGATGAACAAAAGAGTGCAAGAAAGATAAGAGGCTTGTCTAACTTCATCAAATGTACTAAAAACAAAAGATCCTGTGAAAATTAGTGTTTACTCAGGGCACAAATTGTGCTGCATTTCAAAACACTTAAAACACAAACCAGTGAGTATAAAAATGTTCTTTTAATCTTCTCAATACAGAATGAATACAATGAGGCCTTTGTAATGTGAAATTTATACCATAGTAACATTTAAGTCTGATTTTCCCCCCATGTTTGAGCCCCTATTTCCCAGTGTAATACCTAGCAGAGCGGAAACTTAGTAAATAATTACTGAACTTTATAAAATCAATGAAACAAATTTGTGCTAAAACGAAATTTTCAAGCCATGTTTCCCTTGACCAATAACAAAAAGAGACTGGGGATACTTTTGAGTATAAGTACACAAGTCCTAAAAGTTAAAAACATTCTTGGCAAGACCATTAAGTATATAGCTAATGGCTACACAATGAGTTACCTTTCTAGTTTTGTAATAAGCAAATAACCCAATAAACAAGGTGGTAGAGCCCCTGAGAAGGACTATGCTTTATATCATCTCACAAGCAGACAGCACTTTTTGTTTCTTTGTTTGGCTGCATCTCAGGTCTGGATGCCAGAACTATGATAAGTTTTTGGCATCCACAAGAAAAAGGATTTCAGGTAGAGCTCAGAAACACAAAGAAAAGCCCAGATCCTGATGGACTCATGGCTGAATTCTGTAAGAAACTTAGTGAAGATTTAATGCCAGTACTCTTCTTACTCTTCAATGAAATTGAAAGGGAAGCACATTCCCAGACACATTCCCAGAAGTAACTATTAGTCTGATACCAAAACCAGAGAAAGATCTAACCAAAAAGAACCACAGGCCAATCTCCCTAACGAACATAGAAGCAAAAATCTTCAATAAAACATTAGCAAACATATCACAGTAAATCATCAAGATAATACACCATAACCAAGTTGGATTCATTCAGGAATGCAGGGATGGTTCATTATATGCAAATCATTAAATTAATTCACCTCATCAACAAAGCCAAAGACAAAAATCACACTATAATCTCAATAGTTGCAGAAAAAGCTTTTGATAAAGTCCAACACTCATTCATGATACAAACCTACAGAAAATCGAAATAGATGGTCTCTACTTAAGTCTGATAAAACCCATCTATAACACACCAATAGCCAACATCATATTAAATGGGCAAAAACTGAAAGTTTTGTCTCTAAAATCAGCATTAAGACCAGGATGTCCATTACCACACTCCTGTTTAATATAATTCTGGAAACATTAGCCAGATCAATTAGATAAGAGAGAGAAATAAAAGCAATAAGGATAGGAAAGAAAGAAGTTAAATTATCATTATTTACAAATGCTATGATAGTCTATATAGAAAACCCCCAAAACTCCACCAAAACACTAAGTTAATAAGCAAATTCAGCAGCGTAGCTAGATACCAAGCAACACTCAAAAACCAGTAACATTGCTGGCAATAACACAAACAACAAACTCATTGAGAGAGAAATTATGGACATAACACTTCTCACAACAGCATCCAAAAAATGAAAGGATGTAAAAGATCCGTATTATGAAAATTACAGTACTCTGAAAAAAGCAATTGAATAGGATATCAGAAATGGAAAGCTATCCCTTGTTCACAGATAGGAAGAACCAACAATGTGACAATGGCCATACTCCCAAAAATGCTACAGCGATTTAATAGAATTTTCATCAAAATACCATTAGCATACCTCACAGATCGAGAGAAAACATTCCTAAAACTCTTTTGGAAACAGAAGAGACCTAGAATAGCAACAGCAATCCTAGGCAACAAAAGCAAGGCAGGAGACATTGCATTCTTAGACTTGAAATTATACTACAAAGCTACTGGCAAAAAAGAAACAAAAATAAAAACAAAAACAAAAACAAAACACCAAAAACAAACAGACCTGAGGATCAATGGAACAGATTAGAAGAAGCAGAAAAAATTCCAAACAGAAAAAATTCCAAGCAAACTCAGCCACCTTCTCTTTGACAAAGAGGTAAAAAAGGAACTGAAGAAAGATATTCTCTTTAACAAATGGAAAAACTGGCTCTCTATATGCTGAAGATGAAAACTAGACCCATCTCTATAAGCCTATACTAAACCAAAATTGAAATGCATCAAAGAACCAAATAATGAAACAGAAACAATAAATCTGCCTGAAGAGAGAATAGGCAGAACTCTTGAAAAAATAGGGTAAGGGAAAGATTTCATGAACGAAACCCTGGGATCTTATCCTGTTCAAAAGTTTTTGCACAACAACAACAAAAACCACCAACAGAGTGAAAAGACAACTCACACAGTGGGAAAAAATTTTGGTTAGCAGTCCTTCAGACAATGGACTTAAAATGAACTGAAAAAAATAGACCTTCCTGAATTTAAAGACCCAATTTAAAAATGGACATCTGAGATGAATACACACTTCTCAATGAAGAAATACAAATGACAAATAAATATATGAAAAAATGTTCCACATCACTGGTTGTTAGAGAAATGAAAATTAAAATAACACTGAATTTCCATCTCATCCCAGAAAGAATAGCTATCAAGAAATCAAACAATAAAAAATGCTGGAAGGGTTGTGGGGAAAAAGGAACCCTTTCCCACTGTCAGTGAGAATGTAGACTGGCACAACCAAATCAGTGTGGAGATTCCTCCAAAAACAATTGGAGATTGCATTCAATCCAGCTATTCTCCTTCTAGGTATTTTCCCGAAGACTTGAAAACATCACACCACAGTGACATATAAGCACCCACTTTTATAGCAGCACACACCACTCATAATAGCTAAATGTTGGAAATGCACATCAACCTAGGAATGGATTAATAAAGTTTTTTTTTACACGGTGGAGTACTCCTCAGCCATATAGAAGGGAAAACTTGAGACTGTTTTTATAGGTAATTGGATGCAACCTCAGACCACACTCATAAGCGAAATAAATCAAATGCACATGTGTAAACATCGTATTGTCTCTCTAGTGTAGTAAGCTGAAAGAGTAAGTAAGATAAAAAATGTACAACAGATATTGTGAAAGTGAAAAGAAACTGCTCAAAAGGAAAGAACAACTGGGATAGGGAAAAGGAGAAAAGCAAGAAGGGAAAAATTATATATATATATATATATATATAATATACACACTATTACAATGTATTACAATATACATATAAATATATTCAAGAGATGTAATTATACTACTGTTCTTTTTTTGTTCATCAAAAAGAACAGTTTGTGCTTTCACGGTTGATCATTTTTTATGCCTACATCTTGTAATCTGAACAAACTACTTTGATGGTAATAATATGCAATACATTATTAACCATTGTTAATCTACTATTTTATTTTGAAATTCTGTATCATTGTTTTGATTCTTTTTTGATTTGTCCAAAAGAGTCATGAATTCATAGCTGATCAATCCATTAGAAAATATGATAGTCCAAGGGAAGTCAATCAGCTGAAACAAGCAATAGGACCTAGGAAGCCAAACAAGAATTGTGGGGACAGTAAGAGAACACTGGAACTTTGGACACGCTTCAAACAGTATCAGAGACTGTAAAAGAGACTGAGCCAGGGCCTTCTTTCTCCAAACTGATACATGACCATGTATCTCAGTTAGCACTTTATTGCTTGCTGTCTTCCTTCCTCTGCCATCCCTTTTTTGTTGTTGTTTTGGCAGACACTGGGGATTGAATTTGGGGCCTTTGTACTGAGCTACACCCCTAGCTCTGTCTTAGTTTGAGACAATGTCTCACTAAGTTGCTATGGCTAGGCTTGACTTGTGATTCTCCTTCCTTGACCTGCCTGAGTGCTAGCGTTACAATTATATCCCCTATACCTGGCTCTCAGCTTACCAACTGCTCAAGCCTTCTGAAGTAGGAATGAATGGATCCCTGAACCATCTGTGAGTAAGCCAGGTGAATGGACTTTGTTTAGGCTTTGTTCAATTGCTTCAGAATGTAAATGATGGTAGCCTTCAAAGTCTGTTTGAGAAAACTTCAAATCTCCATTATGTTCCAGATTAAAGTCAAGGTAGAGTATCCTGAGAGTGTCACAAAAAGAGTTAAAAGCTTGCTTTCATTTGCAAGATCCTCTTTGTAAAGCAGGGTTTTCTTTGGTGACAACCAAAACAACATTATGGAGTACACTGACATAAACCACACACTTAAGGTGTCACTGTGTCCCATCAACCCTAGATGGGATTGCCAAGTTGCAAGAAAACAAGCTCAAAATTCCCTCTGATTCTGTACTATGGTGAGTGTGCAATTATTTCATATTACAACATAATAATAACAGTAATAAGGTGCACAATACGTGTAATATACTGAATCATACTCCCAGTGCCAAAAAGGTTGGAGACCTCTGATATAGAGTATTTATAATTCTTAAAGCTAGATGATGATTAAATACACGTACAATACTCTTCTGTCTTCTTTGCTTAAAAATTTCATAAGTTTTTAAAAGACCCTACTATTTGATACATAATAAGAATTATTTTTCTTCTTAAATTTATAACACTAGTGAAAAAATTTTAAATGCAACAAAAAAAATCATGTAACTATTTAACTTATTATGAATTCATACAAATTGGGGAATTCAAATTCCAAGGTGAGGACAATAAAAATAACAAAGACTTATTTACTACAGTCACTAATTTTTCCATATTTCTAATATAATTGACTTACAACTTCTTGACAATTTGGTCTTAATCTGCAGAGCATTATGAAATGAATACTAATTAAAAAGTAAATAAAATTCCATAATTCTTAGGCAGCTGAAAACAAGTGTTTCACATTTTTGTGTGACTCACCTGCTGTAAAATCTTCGGTCAGATCAATAAACGCATGAGAATGTGGAATTCGCATTTTTCTTTTGGTAGACAATGCAGGATGCCATGATAAATTTCTAAAATGTAAAATAAAAAAATTTTCTTAAGATAATATGAAATACATATTTCAAATTACAAAGACAAAGCTGGACGACTGTGTATCAATACAATGGAGTATTATTTAGTCATAAAAGGCATGAAACACTGATACATGGTAGAGATAAACCTTTAAAAATGTTCTATGAACAAAGCACATCCAAAATGTTATAAGCTTTATAATTCCATTTATATGAAATATTCATAGTAGGCAAGTACATAGAGAATACAGGGGAACAAATAGATTAGTGGTTGCCAGGGGCTTGTAGCAGGGAGCAAGTGACAACAGCAGCTTAATGGGGTAGGGCTTCCTTTTGAAAGCATGAAGCAGTATTAGAACTAAATAGAGCCGATAGTTACACAACATTATGTCTTAGATACACTACATTGTACACTTTATTAATGTGCACATTAAAATCTGTAACAAATAAAACACTTTTGATATTCCAACTTCACCTCATTAAAAAGAAACCAACAGAGCTGAGTTTCCATGTATCCTTCATTCAGGTTCACCTAGTATTAACGTTTAATATGATTGCAGTATAATTACCCAAATTAGAACACACTGTTAACACTGGTAGACTAAAGTAAGGAAGGAAGAACAAGCTTGTATCATCCCTTTACAGCTCCCGGGCAGGCGAGAACTCCAGACTTTAAGGCATTTCCATCTATGAAGATATCCTAAAATCAGCTTCTTCAAAAAGCTCTCTTTCTATTTTCCTATGAAACTTTTCTCTTTGAATAGCATTTTGGTTGGCATTAAATTTACTGGAAGAATTTTCTCTTTGATCCTCCAAAACTCCACAAACTCTGACCCAAGATACTTAGATCTACAATGCTTAAGGAGACCCTAACTTCCTTATTTCCTATTCTCTAGTTCAGTTGAAAGTAATCATTCCATCCTAAGTACTATGTTCCCTCCAATATGGAACCACAGATAGGTCATCTTCAAAAAGAAATGTGAGGTTATTTAAGTCCAATGTAATTGTCCACACAGTATGCAACTGACTGGACAGGAAACAAAATCTTATTTGTGAATTTGATTTTGTGTCTTTGTGAACAGAGACGCAATGGGCTGAAATCAACTCCTACTTATCACAGAATCCACGCCTAGAGGCAAGAAAATCCAGTCCTTCCCTACCGCTGTTTTCCTTCCTAGTCCCTTTGAACACTGTAGTGTGTATTAATTATAATCTTGCTTTCTCGAACATTTAAAATCAATATTCGAGTTCTTCACAATATTTAAAGTTTTATACTTTTTGCTATGCTCTTCTTTATACTCATCACTTACGCGACTGTAGCTGACTCTCACTTTATTCATACACAGCTACTCTGATCACAATGGAAGCAACAGCAGAGGTGAAAAAGCAGGCAGTTCTAAGCCATATTAAATTTATTCATTGACATTTTTGAACTTCTGTCAGAAAATTTCAATTAGTATTTCCCCCACAGAAAACACAATTATAGCAAGGTGTTCTAATTTGTGAGTATTATTACCCTTAATCTCAAAAAACAGCATATATCAAAGGCTGACTTTATAAAAGCAATTAATGTCAACTTTCACTTTTGGTTGCCTATGGTAACTACTTTCTGAAATAACTATTATCTTGTCCAATTTTCAATGATTAGCTTGTACTGAGCTGTTACTATTCAGGTAATGGTGGCTAGTAGGACATGGGATTGGTGTGAAGAGTCTGTCCACTGATTTTCTAACTTTTTTTAGGCTCAGATATGCTCTAAAAAATTCTTGAAAACATAAGCCTAACACATTTAATCTTTGGTTCTGTTAGCCATATTAAACTTTTAAAGTAAAATGATTACTTTAAAACACCAGTGAAATATAAATAAAATATTCAATCATCACTGGTCATCATTCACAAATAAAAAATCTGGAAAACCAAAAAAATGCAGTAACAAGGTCTTCCTTAATATCTAGATATTATATATCTTTTTTTAATCTTTGAACTTATACATCCATTTGTTTTTCTTAAGAGAATTTTATCATACATAAAATGTTTTCTATATCTAAAATCATTTCACTGATGACTCTAGCGTAATTCTTGTAATTGCCTGTAAAGTAAACTGGAAAGTAAATTGTTATTTATGTTGGTTCTCTTCATAGATCTCAGTGTTTAAAAAAAACTCTTTGAAATTAATTTATTCTAACTATTAGTAGACAATGGAATGAAACATATGCTTTAGTTTGGTAACTTATTAAACCAAAGGAAAAATTTTTATTAGAAATGCCTTTTAAAAGGGATGAAGCTTTAAAGATATTTATTCTTAAAAATGTCTTACTGCATCAATGAAACAGAATTCACCAAAAATCTATTCTTAATTTTCACTTTTTATAGATATAAATGGTAAGGCATCTTTTTGTAAGTAGGGAAATTAATATGGATAGTTACAGAATGACTCCCAACTCTTTGAACTCCTTTGCAGTCAAGTTTTAAAAAGACAGCATAATTATTGATCACCAAAAATAATTTATAATGTGGTATCAATTAGGTCTTCCTTCAAGCTGTTGACAGTAACTGGAAATAAGGTTTATAATCAAAGGTCTTACCACAGATTTATCCAACTACTAGCTATGCCAATTGCTTTTTATTTAGAGAAAACTTATTTAACCAGATCTACCAAAAAACAAATTGGGGAATCTTTTTATTGCATCTTTGGCAATATTACATATGCATATACTTTTAATAAAATGTTTCTATTATTATATTAAGAATATTTTCATCAGACCCCTCCTGAAATTTTAATACAAGAAATTATCCTTAAATTTTTACATGTGGTAAGTGTGTTATACTATAACTATGGATATGTTACAATTTTTTTAAATCCTTACTTTCTAGAGACATAAATACATATTTGTACATTAAAGATGCTGGGAAATTGACACAAGGTGTGGAGAAAATCAGTGGTCATGAATTAGTGGTTGGTTAGGCTAGGTAAAAGGAACATCACATACAAATTTATTGTTTCATTCTCACTACCTTTATAATTGTTTGAAATTTTCCATAACAGAGTTAAAAATAAAAACAAATTTAGAGTTACTGATTTATCTTACTTTTTAGGGAAAAAAACTGACCACATAACCAAATCAGAAAAGCCAGACCTTACTGTCAAATCAATTTCCAAAGGAAAGTCATCTTTTTTGCCTCAAAATCTTTTGCTCAAATTTGTGATCCTCCTGCCTTAGCCACTCAGAATACTGGGAAGATTCAGGTATGTACCACCACACCTGGCTGAGGACAAGCCCTTACCAGACATGCAGCTTCTGCTGCAGTTTTGAAAATGCTCCTTAGAAAAGTCATCATACTGAGAAAAATTTTGAAAATCAAATTCAAGTCCCAGATCTATTTATATAAATTATGAGCTAGTTATAGTCACTTAACCTTTGAATTAATCTCTATCTACTACCGTTTCTCACACAAATAATCTACTAAGGGAAAACAAAAAACAACCAATGAGAGAACTGATGTAAAGTATCAACCGATTCCAATTAAAAATTTCTAAAAACAAAAGGGCTCAAAATTCTTTTTCTTTTCTCCCTTTTTTAAAATCTAACTCTGAGCTTCAGGGGACATATTGTATACATGTATTAAAACATAAATATACACAACTATGTGTCATTTAAATATTTAAACAAATCAACAGAAAAAAGTATGTTGCCTTCTGTGCCACTAATATTACATTCAAAAATTTGATGCAACCACTTGTGAAGTAAAACAGATATGCTAATATATTTTTGACATACTTAAGTTAATACCACCAAGTATACAATGTGAGCCTGACCCGGAAATGTGTTTGAGTTCAGTACATGCTTCATAACAAACATAAACCTCTTACTGGCCAGGTAGCAAAGACAGAGGGAGGGTCAGGCTCCTCATGTCACTGAAGGACACAGCCCAAGGACCTAACTTCCCACTTCCCAAAGATTCCACCACCTCCCAGGGCATCCACCTCCCAGCACTAAAATAATATTCTGAATGCATATATAGTATCAGTTTTAAATACCTTTTCATAGAAAATGCTCATCAGTGATGACCTCACATTACTGCAGAAGCTGCTGTAACACTTAATAGCTAGGTGTTCTCTCTGAGCATTGTGGTACACTATCACATGAATCAAGTCATCACAAAGTGAATTTAAAGAGCAAACTGAAGCTTTGCCTTTGATCACTTAACACTTTCAATTATCTCCTGTACCTCAGCAGCTTCACCACATTCCCTATCCCTGTCAGGTGACCAGTACTCCACCAATGAGAAGGGATTCCACCACTTATTACCACTGCCTGTGAGATGACCATATTCACGTTTACTTCAGCCAAAGTGGCTGTGCCAGATTTAACTGAGGGCAATCTCCTATTTTCGCATACATACTGGGCCAGGTTATAATCATAGGCTTTCTAGCACAATTCTTTAGAAGGATTGAGCACTCTAAAATCACCAAAAATTTCCCATAAATCCAAGTTGCTGAGCAAATTTAATTAAGATGAGCCTGGCTGGCATTCCAATAAAGCATGATACCGAAGTTGCAAAAGTTGATTTCTGGATAAACCTGGTGAGTTAAGAGTTCTTAAAGATTAGGTAGCTATCCAAGGTTATGGGACTAGTTTAAAATCCTAATAGTTTTTCACACACACACACACACACACACACACACACACACACACACACACTTACTCTTGCATATGTCTATGTGCTGCCGGCCCATAGCAGCAACCCTGTGGCACTCCTGGGAGGTGGTGTAATCTTTGGGAGGTGGGAAGTTAGGTCACTGGGCTGTGCCCTTCAGCAGACATGAGGAGCCTGACCCTCCCTCTGTCTTTGCTTCCTGGCCAGTAAGAGGTAAACTGATTTCCTTTGCCATATACTCCCTGCCACGATGCTCTGACTTAACATTGCTGTAAAAATAACAATGGCAACCAATTATGTCTTAAAACCTCTGCAACTATGAGCAAGCATGAACTTTCTCTCCTTTTAAATTTACTATCTCATGTATTTTGCATTAGTGACAAAAAACTGACGAACATAAAGTCTAAAAGTACTTTTGTAGATCATTAACGTAGCAATGTTTGCCCCTAAAGGGACAAATTCATTCTCCAGTTGTCTGAATAAGGATAATTCTAGGCTACAGTCATCCTAACAATGAAATTAACAGAAATTCTGCTATGTGAAGTGGTGGTGTAGGGTATTAAGCTAGGCACACCCCTTAGTCCTGGCCCTGTGGGAAGCTGAGACTGAAGGATTGATAGTTTGAGCCCGGTGCAGGCATCTTTCAAGTTTGTAAGATTCCGCCACAAAATAAAAAACAAAAAATTTAAAATTGGTTGGAGATGTAACTCAGTATGAAGGCTCTGGGTTTAATGCCCAGTACCACTTAAAAAAAAGTTAAGAGGGCCAGGGATATATAGCTCAGCAGCACAGTGCCTGCCTGGCAAGCACAAGGTTGTAAGTTCAATTCCTGGTATCAAAAAAGAGAAAAGTTTGGTATAGGGAAGTGCAATCAGGACCTTGTATATGCTAAACATGCATTCTATTACTAAACTATACCCCAACTCCCTAGAGAAATTATTTTCTGTGATTTCTTATAAATTCATTGTTGAAACTGGCATCAGGACCAATCTTGGGTTCAAACTTGTCATTTAGATTAAGGTTAGCTATTAGTGTAACTGAAGTTTAAATGAGGGATATTGCAAAATAATTGTATTACTATAGTATCTTGGAGTACACATGTAAATAATATAAAGTATAAGGGAACATGACTTTATGCAGAGTATGTTCTAAACTATACTTCTTAAGTATTAGAAAAAGTCTAATGAAAGAATTCAGAATAATAAATAAGCTATAAAACTGTTGTATGAGATTCTAAATAGTTTTCTGGTACATTAAGTATAAATTTCATAAAGATATTAGAATTTTATTTCCTAAATATCAAAATAGGTATTTATAAGTTTTAATTTCCAAAGGTCAAACTGTATCAGATTAAAGACCTGTAATGCTGTCTGTGACTACATTGAAAGTTACCCTGAAATAAACCAGGCCAGTGGTCACCACTTCACTCTGTTCAATCCTATGTCTGCCTTTGAATAAAGGAAGAGGTTTCCTGAGTATTTACAGTTTGCTGAGTAGGAGTGGCATAGATTATGAGTTCTCTTTTCCCTTCTCATGCTCAGTTTGTCCGTAGACATAGGCACAAGGCATGCCAGGGCCTGCTTCCAATTTGTCTCTAAGGTAGCACTTGATCTTAAATATTTTGCCACATGGCAGTTTGGGTAGTGGTTTCTCACTGGAGATTCACAATAATTCAAAGTTCAGTATACTAGCATCAAAATTTTCATACTTTTTATGAACAACTTTTAGAAAAAATGACATGTGACAGTTTCTCTTTAGAATATCTTAAATTTTGACAATCATCTGTGAGCCTGTGACTCACATGTCAAAAACTAATCATAAAAACATAGTAGTTCTCCAAAGCATAAATTCAACAGATTGTCACGCAGTTGAGTAAGATAGACTTTTAGGTGGTTCTCGGCATCTCCTCAAGAACCATAAAAGTAAATGTTTTCTATACACATCAACTAACTCCTGTCTAGTCAGCAGAATTTTAAAAACTTAACCAAATTGATGTAATTATATGAAAAGAATCTTGAGATTTTGAAATCTTCTATTAGGCAGATAGGAATTATAGTGGGGATATTTGAAATGTGAAATTCCAGGCAGTTTTTCTGACAAATAGTATAACTGGATAATAAAAAACACTTTGCACAAATTTTCAGAGCTTAGAGAACTGGTTACATTTTCCAGACAATTATTTATTAGTTACTGAAAAAATGAAAGCTTATCAATTAAAGTAGCTATCAATCTAGGAACTACTAATTAGCTACCAATCTAAAAACTAATAAGACTAAGGTGGATCCAATCAAGATTGAAGTATCCATCCTATTTAATTTAAAAGAAATATTCCCAATTTCAGAAATATCTAGCAAATCAACTTTTATATAGACATGAAAAGTCTTTATCTCTAATATCCAGGCGCATAGAAGCACTAAGCAAGTTCTAGTCACAACTGTTAACCCAATGCTTCAAAAAACTGTTTTAAAAATAAGGATTTCTAAAGAGCTGTTTTTTCTCTGATGGCTGATACAGTCAGTTCACAGAGATATGTAATACCTGCAGCAACAGCAGCAGCCACAACTTATACAATTAATTACATGATTTTAACCATACTTGCTACTCACCCTCCTAGCAGTATCTGTGGCTGGCTAGATTCATTTGTGACACCAAATACATCAGGAATTAGGTCCCCATTGAAGCTGAAAAGAAAACATTAAAAACAGTAAGAAAGTTTTTTTTTTTTTTTAATTAAAATATCACTCCTAACTTAAAGCCTATACTTTTGGGAAAAATGGTAGACACTACAATGTTCATCAGTATCTAGACATAGTACCTCTGTTGCCTCATAGCTACAGCTCCATTTCTTGAACTGGGCCATGGTCCTCACTGGGCCTGCTGTGGTGATGCTGAGCACATGTGTCTGAGACGGCCCAGTTGGGAAGCCAGCAGGGCAGCTTGCAGCCCACTTTCTGAGCAACAGCAGAGAAGAGCCCTGAGCTGGCCCAAATGGAACAATAAGCAGGAAAAAAACATTTGTTGTAAGATTTTGGGATTGTCTCTAACCTGTGGGACAAAGAGACAGCACTAATTCTTAGAAATTTAATTCAAAACCAGGACCTAATTTGTTTGTTAAAATGGACTGACGAGCAATAACCTACAAAATTTAATTCCTAGCTGGTATAAAAAATTTGTGCTGGTTATTAATTATCCCAGCAACACTTAAAAAATATATAACTATTTAAAATTATCAAGCTGAGCACTCTTAAAAAGATTAACTTATGAATTTATAGTTCAGACTTCTGGTAGCCACTGACCCACTGAGATTATGATATTAATAATCATAAGATAAGCATGACTGAAAATATCTGTTGATCAAGCACTGAGTTAACTGAAAACAAAAACACAAATCTTCCTTTTTTTCAACACAATGAATTTCATTTTTTTTCTTTCTGCCAGCACAGCAGACATACACAATGAAGAATACAGGCCCCTCTTAGCTTTAGGGTATGAATTCAGTGGTACAGTCCTTAGCAATGTGGATTCCTATGTAAAAGACTTTTATTTTATGTTCATACATTTAATTCATTTCCAGGGAAGTACACATACTTACTCCATAATTAGTGGTTGATCTTGAAAAGTCCTATTGAGTATGGTCATATTGTTAGGGTCTATAAAGTGAGAATATATATAAATCAGCAGGCATTTCAGATTATTTTTGATACCTACCTTGAGCAAAATATTCTTTTATTGTTTATAAGATTCATACCTAATTTATTTCAACTGTTGTCATTAATGAGAGATTAGTTCAATACAAAGATCAAATATTGACAGAACTTATTCTCTAGTGAAGACCAACATGACAAATTCCTGTGGAGTTTTCCATCTAAGTATCTTTTGTCTGAGTCTTCTTCATATACACTTAGCATTTAAAAAGTGACAACCAGCCTTTAGTGAAACAGAAACCAATATAAGCAAAATTGCCCAACTCTACCACATCCATTCTCATACACAAGAGGCAATGTGTACATGTTATGCCTTTTAAAAATATATATTGCTGGAACATAAAGTACTGTGATAATTGATGGTATTTCCAAATGTGACCACACAATTGCAACCCTGACACTGCTTTGGACTCTGGCATTGTGAACAAAATTGTCCATTTAGGTATCATTAATTAGCTTTTCAGACAAAACTTAAAGATCACAGGTGAATACAGCAGACTGACACTCAACTTCGGCTTCAAATTTTTGTATTTTTCTGTACAGAGCATAAACCAAAGCATTTTGTAGATATCCTTGCATCTGTATTACTAAAGGAAAGCCAAGCCTTGCCAATCAGATATACTATGAGTTCTAAAATGCAAAAATGAGGCAAAGGCTTGTGCATCTACTTTTTCACTGAACTTCAACATGTTAGGAGGCCAGGAACATTATGCTTTTGAGAACAATGACAGGCATGCAGAATTACTCTGACAGCTGCTGTGCAAATGCCCACTTCACAGTTCAGAGACAGCAGCTTCACTGATGACACTAGAGATTGTTCTCAAAAGCTCAACTGCAAAGAGTTTCATCTTTCACCAATCTAACAAAGTTATAAGCCATTAAAACCCTTTAAGAAATCTTTCCTTAAACTAACAGTAGATTTTATCCTCTAGAACTGATCCTAACCTGGTTCTGCGTTGAAGAAAAAAATCAAAAACAAAACTTTTTATGATTACTAACACCTAAGAACAGCATTTTGAACTAATTTCAGAATACTATTTTTGTTTTATTTTCCTGACTATCAGACATTCCTACATTTTTCATTAGACAACTAATAATACATATTAAAAATGTCTAAAACATATTCACCTAATGTTTGATTCTGTCCCCAGAAGATAACAGCTCCCAATTCACTGCTTGCATGATTTTGAGGAAAATATGTTAGAAGGACATCCATTTGTGAATCGCCATCATAATCCCCAGGGACCACACTTGTTATCAATGCACTATAATTCCTAAGGAAAAAAGATTTTAAAATGATCAAAGAAGTTATTTTATAAAGGAACACCACTATATTTCACCATACATATTTTTAATAATGAAATGCAGTATTTTACAAAACTGAATAATCTTACTCTCTTTTTATCATCTGATTGCCTTTCATGTATTAGATCACTCTGGTCTACAGAGTTTCAAAGTGAACACAAGGAAGGATCCATCCTGTTTCTCAGGAGCTACTGCTATTCCCCATTCCCCTAATCCTATTCCCCATTTCTTTTCTCCAATAAATTTTCCTGCTCTTAAAAAAACAAAAAATTGATTTATGTTTAAGTATTGGATAATATGTTCTATCTTTTGTCAAAGATGCAAAGACATTTAGACAGTGTTATTTAAAAATGGGGGGATGCCAGGTATAGATGCACATGCCTATAATCCCAGCCATCAGTGAGGCTAAGGCAGGAGGATCACAAGTTTGAGGCCAGCTGGCCTACAAAGTGAGTTCAAGGCCAAGGCCAGTCTGAACTACAGAGTGAGACCCTGTCTCAAAAAAAAAAAAAGGGAGGGGTAATGATAGAGTAGTAAAGATTATCTCAGAATTTATCAGTTATTATTTATAAAATATGTAATTTGAATTTAATGTAAATTAAAATTTATAGGAAACTGTATCATTTTATTTCTGAAAGCTAGACCAGATACACAATAGATATTTTTACGTCTACCCAAGTATATGCCTAATTTTATATTTTAATAGTTCCAAAATTATTTATATTTTCTTTCAAAACATCTAGTCATAATGGTGCCTGAGTGACTCAAACAAAAAATAGGACTTGTATTTTTATTTAATTCTATTTAGAGCAAATGGCAAGACAGCAAGCTTTCAGTCAGGCTGTGGATAATTATCTTCTAAATGCATCAGTGGCAGTCCCTTATCTTTTTTACTCCGCAAAACAAGAACCAAGTGGTTTATTTACGGAAAGTCTTGGGCAATATGGGTTTAAGTAATAACAGAGGGTAAGATTTTGGCCTTAAGCTTAAAACAGGGAGTCAATGAAAAGTATAAAAAATTAACAGTTTGACCCTTGATTCTACCTCTATTCCTTAAATGTCAACCAAGTAAGAATAGAACAAGCAAGAGACAGGAGTCCAGCCAAGAAATTAGTTCGTCAGTGACTGAAATATGAATAGTCACCAGCTTTTTGAAGAAAACTAAATGTTACAGGCAGTCAAAATAAATAACAACCTGAAGAAACCATAGCTAAAGAAAAAAAAAAAACATTTCAAAATTACACAAGACTAAATAATAAAGTATGTTCATAAAAACAGAAGAGCAAGCTAAGAAAAAACAACAGTAAGAGGAAAAAAAAACCTTTGAATTTAAAACAATAGATAATAAAAAGTTTAACAGAAAGCTTAGAAGATGAAGTTGAGAGCTCCTGGAACACAAAACAACACAAAAAGCAACATGCCAAAAACAAAGGGGGACAGCATAAATAATTTAAAGGACAGACAGAATACATGTTTTATAAATAGGAAAGAGACAGATGAACAGAGGAGGGAGGCAGAGAAGAAGCAAGAGGAGTTGTAATGTGTAATGTATATGTAACAACTTACTATGTAAAATATACCAATATAAAAAAAAGTACCAATAAAAATTTTAAAAATTACAAGCAAATACCTAAAAACATAAGCCAAACAAGATAAAGGACCAGGGGCTACTCTGTAGATTAATAACCAAGTGGTATGATTCTTAAAAATGAGACAACAAAAAATGATCAAAGAAACAATGTAACAATACTTTAGAAAGCCTAAAAGGACAGAGGCCTCCAGTCTAAAAGGGGTCCATATAGTAATGTTCAGTGTAACACATGAACACAAGTTACACCAAAGCACATCTCCATGAAATTTGAGAAAAAGAACAGAGACTCTTAACAGTTTCAAAATTAAAAATGCAACAAGTAAGATAAAAACAATTCACATAGAATTAATCAAAATAAAACAACTGGTAATTTGTTTTAACTTACCAGATCTCAAGCCCTTTGTATCCTATATAGTTCCAAGAAAAAGCACTCCTTAACAGTTGATTATTTCTATTATGCAACGTTTATTCTTTTTAATTTTTCCCCCATTCTAAAATTTGTTGTCACCCAGTATACATACAATTATTTCCTCAAGGTTTATAAATTTTAAATTTGTTCATTGATTTATAACTTTTCTCTCACTGTTATAATTCAAAGCCAATATTTTTTTCAGCATGTGTTTGAGTTTAAATTAAATACTGCATAGTATGAGCCCTAACTAACTCATAATTTGGGGAGGCACTAGGGATGTTGATCCCCTAGTTCCTTTTTAATTCTTTGAGACAGGGTCTTGCTAAATTGTCAAGTTGCCCAGCTTAGCTTGGACTTGTGAACTTTCAGCCTCAGCCTTCCAGAGTACTTAGATTTAGGTGCACAATACTACACTTGGCTCCCACACATGAGTTTTTACGACAGTTTCCTAATTAGGCCCTGATTGTCTACATAGCAATTCATCTTTTACATGGTTAGCTGGTCAATCAATTTAAATATTATTTTCATCATCTTTTCTACATAAAAACCTATAATACCCTTCCTCCCATGGGACTGAGTTCACTCCATATTTATGATGGATCCTATTCGGCTGTGCTCCCATTAACCCAAACCACAACATTCCAAATGTATCTTCCTCCTCTGCAGGACAAAGTCTTTTGCCCTTGTATTCATAGTATGCCTTTTTATTGTGATCTCTTACAAATACTGTGTCCCTCACATTTGAACATCTTCACCTAAATTTTATTCACACTATGGTCAAGCTCGAATCTATGATGGTCTGGCAGTTGCTCCTTTAGCTTTACTCAACTTTTGCATTCTGTTACATGGAAACTGTGTTAACTCATAATTGTGGGATGGGGGACTACTATTTGAGACATTTTTAAAAATTCAGATAATTTCAAATGCTTGATTTGAACTCCTTTAAAACTAAAACATTTATTATCTATTGCCAACTAAAAAATTAGAACAGAAGTCAGTGATACTTTCCCCACTGAAAACTACACATTCTTTTCCCTAGTATGCACAACACGCCCAGCACCATGAGCCTTTTATGAGTGAACCACTCTCCCATTCACAGTCAGCATGAAGGACATTTCCCAGCATCTTCAGGAAAGCATAAAGGATCAGAAGGGAATGAAAGGTGCTTATATTGTAACAGACCTGCTTCTACTCAAATTTTGTTTACAGGAAATTCTTTTTCAATTTTGGTACTTATGCTATTTTTCCCAATAAATTGCTTGTTAGTCATTTTGTGTCACAACATTACAAGGCAGTAGTAAGACTCATTACAAAAACAATCCACCTATCTAAGTGTATCATTACTTTTTTGAACGCAGGATCTTGTACTTGCCAGGCAGGTTCTGTGCCACTGAGCTATATCCCTGGCCCCCTACTATATTATTACATTGAAGACTACTATTAAAAAAAATTTCTTGCACTTACAAAGATATCTTTACTTTAGGTTTAAAATAGGGTGCATTCTGGTCTGCCAAAAAGACGATTAAATCATTTCCTAAAAGAAAGAAATACAACATATTAGAAAAATGTTTCCTGATAAGACATCAGCATCCAAACAGTTGTTATAAACTTTCTGGGAACTATGCTCTACAAGAAAATTCTTGCTCTATTTCAGAACATCTGCCTCTCAAAGTTGATTCCACCTATCTAATGGAATGAGTATCTAAAACAAGTTTAATGTTTAAACAAACAGAGGAAAGATAACCACAGAAAAACACAGTTGATCAAGACAAAAGGAAGACAATGTATGTGCCAAAAGTCTGATTGGTGGGACTTAAAAGAACTACATAAAAAACATGTCTTAAAACTCGACTATATTATAGAAGGCACAAGATCTTGAGTTCAAACCATAGTATTTTCCTTCAACAAAAACAAACAAAAAATTACAATATATTTTACTATATATATAGCTTCGTGTTTTCCAACCCCGACCTTGCTACCACTTGTAAGGCTATTTAATTCACCAGACAGATTCATCACCCCTAGGATACAGGACCTCTCACAGTAGGATTCTAACAAGGCACCAGGAAATGATCAAACAATGTAAGCACAAAGAGCTGATCCCTCTTAAGAATGTATTTCTATGTTTCCTATGAAATTATCTTCTGGGTTCATGCTTTATTGAAGCTGAACTAACATTCACTAGGACAGACTTTTTAAATAGTTTTTAATCAAACACAGGTTATCTGTGAAATCAAGGAGCAGGTCTATTCAGTTTAGATGATGTAAACTCAAGTCCCGCTCAACGTACCCTTCTTCCAATATTGAATATCATTAAAATGTGGGAAAAATATTCAGAGGTCACAAGAAACTCTGAGATTCTCAAAAAGTCAGGCTCTGGATCCTGTTCATCAAATTCTGCAGCAGCTGTTCACTTCCTCCTTTCAGTTTTGACCTTTAAGCAATAGATGCTTTTGTGTGTACTGAAGAATGCTAAGATCCCCCTAACGTCTACTATAAGCATCAAAGAACATAATGTTCTTAGTGACAGATATAGCAAAGGACTTCCAAGAACCACACGTTGGCAAAGAAAGATATTAAAGACTAGACTGGTGACCAAGGTAAGAAGCCAGGTGTATAACACAGATTAGGCAGCTGATGAGATGAAGAATTTGTAGTTTGAGAAACTTTCCCTCAAGGAGGCAATGGGTTTACCAGTGGTTCCTGCAAAATGCTTCTGGGAGCTGTGGAGTGTTAGGGTCTTAGATACTGTACTTTAAAGAACACTGAGAAAAGGAGGGGCAGGTGAATTAGACATTAAATGAGTATCTAAAGTCAAGTCCTGTATGAGAAGAATCTGCTAAGTTGCATTTTATGTTCATGCAATGGAAAGGCAAATTTAAGCAGAAGAAAAGTACTGGAGAAAGAAGGTATAGGCCATCTACAAAGGGAATCAGGAAGGACTTTGGGAGAAAACAAATTTCATGAAAAGGGCGATAATTCGATGAAGGCTGAAAGCTTGTCAGAAAAAAAAAAAAACACTAAAAATAGACAAACAAATACTGCCGTGTTGTCATGGGTTTCTGGGACAGGTTAAACCATTTGGTAACTAGATCAGGACCTGGAGTTGGGATAAGATGTTGGAGATGAAGGAAGGCCACAGGGCTGGGAGAGGGGCTGGGAAATGCGAGAAGCCTAGTCATCCATCCAAGGGACCTGGGGAGCATCGGGAGAGGGCTCACGGACAGTGGACAGAGGGAGGGGCGGGCGAGCACTGACTTTCCCGCAGCACGAAGAGATCCGTCTGCTTGTCTGAGTTGAGGTCCCCGAAGGCCGCCAGGGTGCCCCAAGCCTCGGCCCCGAAGAGCTCGGCCGTAACGTTGTGCAGTGCCCGCGCCGGAACCGGCCCGGCTCCTAGCAGGGCGAGCCCCCATAGAAGAGGCCCCAGCAGCGGCCAAGAGCTGTGCAGCCCGCCCGCCGCCGCCGCCGCCATGGCAGCCCCTCGGCCCGCCCGCGGCCCGTAGCCGCGCTTGACGGCAACCGCAAAGCACCGCACGACAGGCGACAGAGAATGTTCACAGCCCAGAGGCACGTTCGAGCCGCCGCCGCGGATCCCCCTCGAAACTTCCTTAGGGAAGACCCTCTGAGGACCGAGAGGGCGTGGAGCCTGGATGAGGTGCACCTTCGCGCTCACTTCCGGCCAGCGCGCCTCCCGACAGTGTCGTGCGCCGGGGCGGGGCCGGGAGGTGGTGCAGCCTGGCCAGGGGGCGGGGCGGGGCCAGACGTCCGCGGGGGAGCCATGGCGGGGGTGGCCGGGCACATGGCCGATGTGACCTGGAAGGTCCTGGAGAGAAGAGCCCGGACCAAGCGCTCAGGTTTGGCCGGCTGGGGCGCCGCCCTAACCCCCCGCACAGCGGGCGGTGCTTCCCCACAAGTGCCTGGGGTGGGAGACAGGTGGGGTCGTGGTCACGAACAGGTGTCCCCCAGATTCTCCTTAGCAGGCGGCGGCCAGACTTTGCACCTGATAACGCCCGTCTCCCTCTGAAACGAAACGAAACAAAACAAAACTCTTTAACTGGGTGTCCCAGCTCTGTGCTGTGTGTGTCAGTTCCCCAGCCATAGAAAGTAAGGGCGGCCTGACTTCTGGAGTCCCGGACCCTTAGAGATGAGGCAGTGACAGATTTCGAAGAAGGAAGTGTGGCCTCCCAAGTGTGTTTCTCTGAAATGTCCCTTCATATTAGATTAGGGGAACCCTGACTTCTGAGTGTCAGATCCTGCCCTTCCTCGGATTTCGTGACTCCCTTGTAGACTCCCCACGCCTTCCGAACCTGAGCTAGTGTGGCAGCTACTGAGGGAGCAGGGTCTCGGCTCACAAAGTAAAGTTGAGCATGGCCAGGGCTCAGAACCCGTGGGCCTCTTTGCTTGTGAAAGGCTCTGGTACCTGTAGTTTTCGGTTGTAATTTTCAAATCCAAGGCCATGGAGGTCAAGAGATGCCAGCAGTTCAAGTGTCCTGAACTGACTTGTTGAAAGTGCCAAGTCATGACTTTAAAGTTAGCACTTGAGGCTGATACCTCCGACAGCTGCGATTAAAACTTTATTTCTGGCTGCCTGTCAGTAATAAAAAATATGGCAGTAAACAGTCGAGATGGCGGAAAAACAAGTCTTCAAAAAAGGGCTTTTTAAAAAATGATTGTTATGTCATTATTGGATGATGTGAAAAGCATTATCTAGGACAACTATCTGCATATTTCCCCCTTTTGTCATTAAAATATGCCCCTGTTACATTTTGGGCTTTTCTTATGTCTTCTTAGTTAAAATTTTTAGTTGTATATTGTTTATCAGTTTAAAAAATTATAGAAAGTATCTTATTTCGTAAGCCATTTTGTTGCCAATTCTGTTTTTAAAGTTGAAAGTTCTGTGTTTATTTACTTGGGCTTATAGTGAAATTCCCATATGAACTATGACAAAAATTTTAAAAAGTAGTCTTTAGTACATTTTAGTCAATACAGTTACTTGAAATAATCACATGTGGTTTTTTTTTGTTGTTGTTAGCTACTAATAATGTGGGTTCAGTCAGGGAGGTTAGCTCAGTGGCACAAGCACCTGCTTGGCAAGTGCCAGGTCTTGAGTTCGAACCCCGGTACCAAAAAAAAACAAAAACCAATGTGGGTGTCTAGGCTATGAAAGATTTATTGGGTCGATTATGTTAGGACAAAGAGAATAACCAGAGTTTTCTTACAGGGAACTGAACACTGTCCCCAAATGTAATTTTTCTTTTAATAAGTGCAATTGATTGTCCTCTCCAGTCTATGTTTTGTTTTCTTTTAAATGCTTATAAGCCTTGAAAACTTTTCTTAACTGGAAAAAATTGAAGTTTTATTTAACTGTTGTTAAAGTGCAGTTGCTTAAATCCAGTTTCATGTGCAAAAGTAGTTGAATGGATAGCATCAAGGTTGTATGTTCCTCTGTGTTTTTATAGCATAGTAATAGAGATACCAGTTGAAGCCAGTTTATTAAATTTTAGTTGTCTGATGTTTCAAAATCTTATATCAAGAATAGATGATAGAGGTTCTTCAGTGAATCATTTACTTCCTTTGTCATTAAAAACATTTATCTTGATTCTGTTTGTGACTTTAATAAAATACATAAACAGAGGTTTGTCTTTTTAACTAGCCTACCTCTGGTGTAGATTTCTTTGTAGAGTTCTAAGCATTGTTATGTGGTAAAATAATAACTTTATAATAAGGAATGCTGCTGTTATGTTTAATAGGTAGATATTGTATTTTCTGCCTTATGTATATGAGCAGTTGTAATTTATCAAAGGAAATCAGATTTTCAAATCATATGAGAATAAATTACATAATGATCTTCAATTATTGCCTTTTGTTCTGTACTGCTTCATGTTAATAACTGCTCACACTGCTTTCAATTAATCTAATGCTGATTGCTTCTAACCTTCACTAAACAGTTTTAAGATTGCTGTAGTTTAGCCTGGGACGCTTTTGATTAGAGTCAACACTTTGAAATGGCCAACTCACTTGATGCAGTCGTCTGCTCTCCACCTGCTTTCTTAAGGTCTGGTAAGTGTGTGGACCCTAAAAGGGTCACTTGGTGATTTTAAATGCTTTTTGTTTTGAAAGCTGATAATATCATAGGGCATTATATGGCAATATGATGTCATTTTTATTTTATTACTCTTCAGTGGGCCCAAAGCTGAGCATTATTTTAGCTAGTGTTAGGCTTAGGTATACATTGTATTTTGAATGTGATACTATCCTGTTTTGCCTTGGGGGGTGAAGGCCATCAGAGGGAAGGCTCTGCTTTGACTTGCAAGCTGTATGGCTAGGGCAGTTTCTTAATACCTGGGAGCCTCAGCTGTCAAATGATAATGTAGCTTCGTAAATGATTTTTGTCTTCTCACATGATGGAAACAACTCTTATAAACTGGAAATTTTGGGTCAACATCCCACTTACCTACTCTGTCAACTCCCAATGAATTGTTGTTTCTTAAACAGTTTCATGGACAGGAATCAATTTGTCTTTCCTGAGACTGCTGTGTTTTAAAATTCAGTGCTGTGTATTGCATCCATGGCGGCTTGGTGTAGGGCTGGAGATGTTTGTGCAGCAGCTGTTAGACTTGTTTTGACAAAGCCCTGTGAGAGATGGGGGAACCTGAAGAATGAGCTCTCCAGAAGAATTCACAGCAGTTTGAAAACAATTTTTAGATAATTTTTTTCCCTGATAATGATACTGCATAGATTCCCTTTAGGAACTTAGGCCTTTGGATATATTCATCTTACTTTACAGAGAAACAGGTTTTGTTAAGGGACTGTATGGCTGAAATACAGACTAAAGTTCTAAAGATCCTTTTTTCTAGGTTGGGAGTCACTGTGGGGTAGTGAACATATAATAAGACAGAAACTCTGTGAGGAGTTTTTCCCCAAGGGGCTGCTTGGTCTTTATGGTTCTTAAGTAGAATATTCAATAATGAAGCAAATTGAACTCCTGTTTGGCTTCATGGTAGCTATTTAGAATGATTCTCCCCTTCACTTCCATTTATATTTCAAGTCCTAGTTTTGAAAGATAGAGGAGGAAGATTCAGTTTAAGCCGGAATCAATCAAACATGAGAAATCAGAGCTGATACTTAAGGAACAAAAATGATCCATGTATTTCATTACATCTATTGACAAAATATTTTAATATCAATTGATTTTTTAATTTTGTTTTTCAACTAAAAATACAAGAGAACATGTATTTCTCTACTATATTTTTTATCATAGGCAACTAAAAATTAACGTATAGTTAGAAAAGGATTGGGCTCTCAAGGAAGTCAGCAGAAAAATAAAGCCATCAGAATTGTGGCTGGAGATGCATCTGTTGAAGGCTAGGCCTCAAGAAAAAGATGCAATGGCCAGAGCTACATACCTCCCTAAGGTATAAACAGTAACTTGGAATTATACAGTAATTGGTATTAGCTGGTCCGATAAAGTCCAGATAGACAACAGTTATGCAAGTGGGTGATCAGAACATCCAGACACATTTCTTCCCAGAAATGCCTTTGTTCTTTTCATGTTCGAAAACAATTTTTAGATAATTTTGGCCCTGATAATGACACTGCATAGATTCCCTTTAGGAACTTAGGCCTTTGGATATATTCATCTTACTTTACAGAGAAACAGGTTTTGTTAAGGGACTGTATGGCTGAAATACAGACTGAAGTTCTAAAGATACTTTTTTATAGGTTGGGCGTCACTGTGGGGTAGTGAACATAAAATAATTTCAAACATTTGCTGTGTGAACTGCTTCCCTGTTGGATCAATATTAACTAAACATCTGTACTTGTAATCTTATTAGTTGATTATGATTTGACTTATACTGACCTTGTGATTTTGTACCTACTTTGTGATTTTTGCACTATAAAACATTCTTAGAGAAGTGAGCTCAGAGGCAACTCACTTTCCAGTTCCCTCTCAGTCTCTCAGTTGTTCCTTAGAATTCATTCTTTTCTTTAAGAGGACAAGAACTCGGTGTATCTCGATCTAGCAGGTTGAGAGTTATATGTTCCCCTGCATTTTAATTTTTCTGGGCTCTTATTTTCTAACCTGGCTTTTCTACTAACAATTATAGTGTTGGTAGCACTAGCAGTCATTCAGCAGTAAGGGGGAAAGAAAATGCTAACAGTAGGCTTTAATGTATCAATAGTCACTCAGATTTCAAAACTCAAGAATTGTGCTCTAATCTTATATAGAGTGTTTGAAGGGAATATATAAAAAAGTTTTCCACTATCATCATATTAAATTAAAATCAAATGTACCAGGAAACAGAAAAATACCAAACTGCAGTATTATGATCAATTTAAAAGATTGATTCTTTATAAGTTACGTCTACATTTTTGGAGGGAGAGGGCTCTCCAAAAATGTAGAAGTAAGTTATAAAGTATTTTTGAAGGGATTCCTCTATCCAAAACTTAAGTGTCACTGACCTAGGTCTGAGGGTCCCCAAGGATAAAATAAGGAATTTAACCCATCTCTTTTAAAATAAATTTGTAGGTTTGCTGGCTCCCTTCAGGGAAAAAGAATACTCAGTAAAAGAGGCAGAAGAAGTATTTATCAGAGATAGATGCAGGACACACTCAAGACCTGAGTGCAGGTGCTCAAAGAAATGAGGTAAGTTAGAAGCCAGAGTAGGGCACATTGAAAGACTTCTCAAGATGGGTGTCCTAGGATGTGTACTCTCACTACCTGACAGGTTATAGTACAAGCCGTCTATATGAGTGGAGATACATCGAAGTTAAAGACTCATTATGTCCAAAGCAGCTGCTTTCTGGGCTGAAGGAAAGGACAATTTACAAGTGAATGGGGGATGGTCACATGCTAGAGAGGCCTCCAGAAGCTGGAAAAGACTGTCTGAAGCTGCAGTTTTTCTTAAAAGTACGATTTGAAAATCTTGATTTCTTTGTCTCCTTTTTACATAGTTTTAGTATTTCTATCCTGCCTCATCACCTCTCTCTCCACCAAGACTGTGTTTCCTTATGCGTAGGGAGTTGCAGAAGACCAGTGTTCCCTCTTAAAATAATTGCTTCATGCTGCGGAGGGGTCCTTAATTCTGCCTAGCCAGAGACTGAATGTCTTGTTCTGACTGATCTGAAAGAGACATAGAAATACTAGGTTCCTTTAGAGTTTTTTGGCAGGTTAAGGGACACAGAAGTAAAAAAGCCTTTATTGCTGGCGTGGGAGGGCTGCAGGAGATTGGGAGTACCCTCAAAAGAGACAAAGCCAGGGAGTTGCTTTTATGGAATTGGGATAGCATTGAAGACTGAATGGACAAGTCATTGTGTCAGGAGAGGATCCGGAGGATCTTTGGCATGTGCATGAAAGGGAAGGAGGAAGTTTGTTTTGGAACTAGAAGAACATGAAAGTTAGTGGAGAAGAAATATACTGTTTTGGGGCTCAGCACCATGTTGAGCCTGGCAGAGTCCCTTAAGAACTGAACCCATCATTTCAGTCTTTTAGTTGTTATGGCAGGGCCAACTCTCTTAAACTGCTTTCTGCTAACATGGGATGTCATAGTATGGACTGTGCCATTCATTGAAATGGCAGTTTAGGCCCATATAGAAGTTGGTGCCAGGGGCCTTGGCCAGGACAAAGAGTTTTCTGGTATCTGGCCTGAATCCTGGATTGAGTGAATCTTGAAAAAAGTTTAAAAAGACAAGGAGCTAAAGGCAAAATAATAATAAGTAGATGAGGGAGTCCCACCAGGGGAAGAAGGTAGGGGTGCCAGCCTCCTGGGGAAGACCAGACAGAAAAAACTTGGTGAGAGGCATTGTTGGTTTTGGAGGTAATATACTCATAAATTTTCTTTACCTTATCCATCACAATACTTGATTGATTAGTAAAACAACAGCATTCTTCTCTTAGCTTGGCACAGTGGCTCCTGTTTTGGCTATTGAAACATCAAGGGCTCAGTGGTTTTGAGAGTAACTGCTGCTAGGCTGTTGATTTGGGTTTGTAATGTCTGGACTCAGCAACTTCCTCAAGTTGTTGGTGTTGTAGTGTCAGTTGGAAATATAGTTGTGTAGAGTGTGCAGCTAGATCCATACCTGTTTTTCTGAAGCCAAGAAAATGCCTAGCCTATATGGACTGGTGCGTAGGTGCACAGCTCTAGGTCTCCTCAGGTGGAGGACATGGTTATGTATTGTATTTGTGAGGGACACCTCAGTGACATCATATGAGTTAATTGTTACTGAGAGTGTAAGGAGACCCAGAGTGCAGATGCCTGCCCAGTTCATAGGGAGATGTGCATGCTCCATTTGTACAGAGGTGAACTATCCTTGAGGCGAACAGATTGCCGCAGAGGAATCCCAGGAGATGAAGTTGGAGCAGTGGGATAAGTGTGTCTACCTGTGTTTGTGGTGTTTTTGTTGAGGTATTTTTGGAGACAGGTTGTAAGGGAAATTTGGAAAATTAATGATGGTAAGTGATCCCATAGATTTGTAATGTGTGTGTATATATGTAAATGTGATTTGTTTCTTGTAAGGGGTGAGGCCATGTATATGTTTTGTTGGTATGGAATGCAGAATCAGCAGTCTTGATAGTTGTATTGCTGAGAGAGCCTTAAACGTCTAAGGAGAGAAGAAATGGAGGACAGCTGTTTGGTGGACCCTGGCCAAGAGACAGTGTTGGTAAGGGCACCTAGGATTAGGACTCTGATGGATATTAAAAGAATTATGAGGAATCCTTTTTTTCCTGAATAGGGGCCCACTCTGTCATAAAAGGAGTACCCCACGTTTTGCCTAAAGAGTACGATTAAAGGAAGTGTTTTTGATAGCTACGTCTATACTGATGTCTTTTGTTAGGAGTTTGTTGGGAGAAGGAAACCGAAATGTAGGGATTCATTTGTTTCCATGGTGTACCATCATGATAAAGATCGGTTGTCTTACACCTCCAATTAGGGTTGTAAAAAATAGGATCAGAGCCTTGACATTGTTTAGGATCATTAGGGCAGGGGGCTAAGTAAAACCCACATTGTCAACAGGTAGTTGTTTCCATGGTGTACCATCATGATAAAGATCGATTGTCT